AAATACTGTAAGAAGAATGGCCCGACCGGATAAAAAAATTTATTTTTCAAAAAATATAAAAAATAAATTAATTTTTTAATAAAATGGAAATGGAATAACCATTAAATGTAAATTACTATACATTATCTGGGTGAGAAACTTAAAAATATAGAAAAATTATTTATATTCAGAGTGAATCTGGTGAAATTATGTAAAATATATTTTAAATTAACATTAAAAGAATACCATGTACTTTATTTTTCTTATTTATGCGAATAAATATTTTTTACAATTTTAAGTTGATATGAATAGTAATCAAATTTGACCATTGGTGCACTGGTTATTGCACCGGTCTTTTAATCGAATAGTCTCGGATTCAAACCTTGACCGGCCACTATAAAAAATTATATTCAATATTACAGCTTAATATACAATCCTTATAAGCTTTAGTTATATAAAAACTTCAATAATTTTTGAGATAAGGCTAAAAAATTTCTTGAAGTTGTAAAGCAGCTGCAACTGCCGTGGTAGTCACTGCCGTGATCACATCCAATTTACACAAAGTTCCGGCATTTACTATTAAAGATAATTTGTGAAAATTTGGTAATCTTTGCTTAATTAGTTTTTGAGTTATCTCCATAACGGGTGAGCATGGTTATGAAAGCTAATTCTAAATATTTCAAAAACAATTTTTTTTTATTGTCAGGGTGGCTGGGTATAATTCAATCAGTTCAGATTGCCTGAAATGTTTTGATTTGCTAAAATTTAATTTACGAAAGAATCATATTACACGTTTGTTGAAATATTATACAAGAATTTTGGTATTACCAGACAAAAATGAAATTGTAACTTAAATTAATATTGTACATGAACTGATGTATATGCATCATAAAATTGTGAAATAAAGATGGTGCGTTGTTATTTTAAAATCCTAAAATTAATATGTGATCAACCAAAATAATTTAAATAACCAAATCAACCAAAAATGTAAAAAAATAGTGTGAATTAATAACATTGATGTGAATTAATAACATTAGTATAAAATTCTACATTATAGGATAAAGAATAACAAGAAACTTTTACAAATATCGAAAATTCTTGTAAGGCCCCTAATAATATTGAAAAAAATCTGAAATCCTGACAGAAAAATGCAAATTTGGCTCTTACTTTAGTTTCGCTTTGTGCTACCCGAATTTCCTGAAATGCTCGCCAGTTAGTTTCGGTAACAGCCAGAACTCAAATATCGAATTTCAAGAAATTCCATGAATTCGTTCCGTAGATTTTAATACGAAGAATTTAAATATTAAATTTCAATGAAATCGGTTGGTTATTTATCTTTATATACGCAAAAATGTATATTTGGCCCATGTAAACGTCCAGTTGCTGACACCTGATTTCTTTCAAAGTTTAGGAGGTTTCGCGGACAGTCTAGCTCAGCTTATATATGAAATTTCAAGTAAATCGGTTGAATATTTCCTTCAAATTGGTCAAAAATGTAAAACAGGTTCGCTGAAAAGTGCAATTCCCGGGGCCTGAAATTTCCCAAAAACTGATCAATCCGTGCCATGGTGGAAATAAACTTACATATAAAATTTCGTCAAAATCGGTTCAGCCGAACTTGAGATATACGCATGCACACACAGACCGACAGGTTGCTAAAAATAGTTTATTTAAACTTCCCTGCTATGGAGAAGTGCATTCCCACCGAAAAGTCGATATGCAAAATTTGTTGCCATCACATAACCTACCTATTGTATACACAATACGGTCGGTAAAAATGCAAATTTACGTATAATCAAATTAAAAACCTTTTATACAACACCCAAGTTCACATTGACAGTGTTATGGTTTCCCATTATTACTTCATACACATTTTAAATTTCTCATAGACTTTACCAGTTTGTTTTTTCTTAAATTGTTTAAAAAATGCATAAATTAGGCTAAAATTCACTTCCTCATCCCACTGATAAGATGTAAATAAAAAAAAAATTATAATTTAAAATTTTAGAAAGTTGAAAAATTTTTACTTAAATAATATTAAGACGCCTTCTTTTTAGATCAACATTAAATTTTGTGAGCGTCTCCAGTATAAATTTCCATTTTGTTTTTTAACATAAAAAAAAAAATTTAAATTGTAACTTAATAAAGAAACGTCCTTTCTACTGCAGACCAAAGTAAAATTTTTTTATAATTTTTTTTTGTTTATATGAGTATAAGAATTTTAGAATAAGACAACATCAACGATGCTAAAAAGTTAAAAGGACATTAATAAAAAAATATTTTTCTTTTCTTATTTTTTTTTTTCTGTTTTTTGCTTTTATGATCTCTTTATTATTAAACCATTATACTTTTTAAGCTTTGTATATTGTACAAAGACAAATTCTATATTTTATGTAAGTTTATATGCTTGTTAATAACATCCTCGATAGATGAGACATGTATGTGTGTATGCATCTATTACTCTATTTTGTATAGTAGCAAATTTTATAGAAATCTTTTCAAATTCCACCTCTTATTGCTTAGATATGAAAGTATAAAAGAAAACTTTTTTGAAGTAAAATTACGCTTTTGTTGAATTTTTTCTTTATTTGTTCCGTTATTTGCTCATTTTTTTGTTTTCAAAATAAAAATTTTTTACTTAAAAAGTAATAAAAGAGGAGGATAGACAAAGTTACTTAAGTTGCCAACACATAAGGATGCAAAGATAATTTCTAGAGTAAAAATTTTCTGAACGCGATTGCAGGAGAAAAATTAATTATGGATTGAAGGAGCAACATATCTAGTGCAATAACTTATATTGTTTTTGTATGAAATTGTCAAAGATGTACTTGTGAAAATTTAGTTACCATTACGGTTAAATATCTATATTGATTTTAAATTGAAAGAAAGAATTTTAGTCTGCGACCTGGCAAAATATTCAATTTTTTAACTTATTTTACCAGCATTAAGACACAAAACAAAATATAAGTGTTATATTTACACTATTGTTACATAAATATTGTCAAAATTTAAAAACTGATTTTTTGAACATGTAGAATATTAATCCTATTCTTTAAAAATGGCTTTCTCACAACATAAAATGCCCTTTTGAAATATTCTGACTAAAGTAATTGTTATATATTGTTGTAATTATTGTCACTTGCAATTTATAAACTGTAATTATTACACTTCAGCCATGCAACTCTTTATTTTATTACAACTGTTTTCCCAGCAGCTAGTAACATTAAGAGCAATATTTATCTGAACTAATTGTTTTGTATATAATATAAAATAACTGTATAGATATAGAAACTAAATTTTGTTATATTCAATCATCACCATGAGTTTTAAACCATCAAAACTCATGGTGGTTGTGTTATATTAAATCACAACCATGAGTTTTAAATTATACTCCTAAATTGGATCCTAAATATCGAGAGATTAACATTTTCTTGTTAAAATTTAACGAGAAATAATATTAGTATTATTAAATTTTAAAAGAATTGCTTCAACAAAAACAAAGAATTTTTTATTAAAATTGTTACCAAATTTCCAAAAAAAATATGAAAAATTGTATTTCGGGATAAAATACTGGGTGGTTTCTCTTATTCCTTAAGTATAAAAATTTACATAGTGACATTTTACAACTCAACTTCACATTCTTATTTCTTTGATCTATGCCGAAACTTTATTAGATATCTATGCCAACATATGTAAGAAATACTTTTAGCTATAAAAGAAAATGGTTATCACCTTTAAGGACACTTGATTTTCTATTACGGATTCAGTAACAAAAAATAACACTTAAAATTTTACGTTTCTTTTTTGTTATTGAAAAATAAAAAAATTCAAGGAATGACTTTGATATCTTATTGTAATGAAAATCTGAAGAAGGTAAAAGAGGAACATAATTATATATATGTATGTAGACAGATATGAGCACGAAAATTTCATTAAAATTTACTAAATTTTATTATTTAAATTCTTATGAAGTTATTGCATATTTTATTTACTCTAAGTTTTGGTATTTTTGGTTTTTGCTAGGATTTGAACACTTTGTTTTTGTTAAATCTAAATTAGAAATAAATGAAATGTTTAAAATTGAACATAGATATTTTTAAATTGAAATTCAAGAATTGCATGAATTTCAATCATATTAAATTTTGCAAATAATTTTCTACAATTTAAAATTAATTTCGAAAAATTTGTTTTTTATTATATAAAATTTATCATATTGCAAGATTTTTGATTCACTTTTGATAATAAGTCTCCTAAATAATAAGCTAAATATTTTTAGCACCCTTTTAGGAGCCGTTTACAAAACTTCTACACCCATAAATCTCGATATTATAGATCGATTAAATTTCCTCTCTCTTATTACCTCTCTCTAATAGTGATTCTATCCTGAAAGTCCTAAAAATACCACTTTTTGACTATTTATTTTAAAGAAACTATAAACATTTTTCAGATTTTGTAAACGCAGAAAAGTAATGGCTGGTCTCTTCTACCGCGTCACAGCATAGTTAAATATTAAAAACGATGTTAAAGGACTATTTAAATTTTTTTGTCTCATCTTATATGTACGCAATCTTTAAAAAATTTTAGTATACCTATAAATTTTCATTTAATTTAGGTAATGTAATACACTATTTTTAAAAGCAGTATTTTAACGTGTTAAAGGGAAAAGTGCTACTTTACAAACTAATAGTTTAACTCAACTTAATTTAATTTTTACACTTAATAATATAAAAATATTAATATAATAATATTAATATGAAAATTTAGTCTTGAAAAATAGCTTAAATTAGAAAATGGATTCAATCACTGCCCTGGTTAATATAAGGCCTCCGTGTAAAAAAGAGTAATTGTTGTTATCCTTTTGATTTTTAAAAACATGTATAAGGAAATAAAATTTTTACTGTCCTTTTATGTTTTAAATCATTTTGCATCTAAATACTAAGTAGGGCAGTGATTCAATCACTTAAAAATACAAATAAAAGTAAATTTTAATTTATTCTTATAAAATTTCAATTGATACTTACTTGTAACATTGGTAAGAAAAAACATAAAAATTGTCCAAATATCCAATTTTGTATTAACATAACCATTAATGTAATCGGTAATACAATTGCACATTGTACAACATGACATATACCCAAGTTAATTATGAATGCATGTGTTATATCCTTAAATAATTTATAATATAATGTATATATTATAATTGCTATATTTGATATTATTCCTAATATAGCTAATACAGCATATTGTATAATAAATATCCAATAAAATGAACGTATACTTCCTTTTAAAATTGGTCTATTAATATCACCGGTTGTATTAAAATCACCATTATGTAATGCTTCAGCTATTAAAAGTAAATAATTTTCAGGTATTTGAACATCTTTATAATTTTCATCATTAGAATTAACAGATGATTGCGTTTGAATACCCATTTTTTTTATATAATATAGCTAGTTGTTGTAATATTATAATGAGAATATAATAACTAACTATAAATTTAATTCACTATTATTATAATTTTTTTTTAAATCCTTTGTTATAATATTATATAATATTAAGTTCATTTTTATCCATGATGATGATGATGATATGTTAATATGATGACAAAAATGATACATTCATAATAAAATAATCATATACTTTCAGTAATTAAAGATTTATATCATTAACTACATTCGTATAGGTATTTATTTATTGCTGTATACAAAATTGGTTACATATAGATGATGTTATTCTGGATACACGTGTATTTATTTATAATGTAAACATATTGTGGATGTCATAGAGGATTAACATATTCCAAAAACAAATTTAATTGTTATAGATCTGAAAAATACAAAAAGAAAAATAATGATTAAGGATAATGTGATTATACATCATGTTGTTTGTTTTGTATACTCAAGATAATAAGAAATTAAATTACATTATGTAATAAAATTAATTGAAAAATAGTTTTCTTTAAAGAATGCTTATATTAAAGTATTCATAATCTTATACTCAAAAATTGACTTTTTTTAAAGTTTATTCAGATTTTTCTTAATATATAAGTATGTAGGTACATATTTTACACAGCAGTAATAAAATAGAGTCCAATTTAGGATTATTGTCAATAAGCTTTACCTTTTACACTTCTTTAAAAAGAAACATTACTTTAAAAGCATCTTACATTCTTTTAAAATTCCGTCCGAACAATATTTCTTTAATATTTTTGATTTTTGAAAATTCTGAGAACTTTAAAGCGATGAATTTTGTGAAAAATTTAAGACAATGAATTTAAAAATACCCGGCATATTCTTATTTTTACGTTTTCTTGAAATTTCTAAAACCTAGAAAAATTATTTTCAATTAGCATTTAATGTCGGAAAATGAAAAACGAAATACATAGACTTTCGAAAAACATCCTTCTTCTCTATAATTGTAATATTAAATAGTTGTTTTTCACATTTTACCGCATATAGGCATCAATTTCTTTTTTGTTCATGTGCAGAAGTTTATAAATACGCAAGCACTACGTTTTGAAATTAATTCTATATTTCCATCTGAAAGTATCTTCATCTAATAAACATCAACTAACTCATAATGTTTAGCTGAGGTACGTATGTATGTATGTAATTTGTTGACAAACATAATTTATTTTACTAATTTTTCTTTGTTGATATTGTGCACATATGTATATGTATGTATTTATATTAGTATATAAGTTTGATAAAGTTTTTATGCTCCTTTTTACTCTTGTAAAATGTTCTTTTCATTTACTTTCAAATTGTATCTACAATTTTTTCAGGACTATAATTTATAACTTGAATTATTTTATCATTTACAGTTGAAATTGTTTTTTTTTGCACATTATTTATACAAAATATCTTAATCAAACTTTGCTTTCCACGATAACTGTACATGTATACGTTTACATAGACTGCTTCATATTAAAGCACCGGAACAAAAAAGAAGTGGTTTACCAAAATTACATATGCATGTACATGCATAGTAATACTATATTGGCGCAACAGCAGCTAAAAATGTAATATGTAGTTAATAAAAATTGAATGAATCTTAAGTTCTTTTCAACTATATTAAACAAATCCCAGGTTAGTTTAAGTTGCTTTTAATTCTATAAAAATTGTTCTATGTATAGCTACATATATTGAAATCGTCATCTTCAACAATTCTTTAAGGTAATTGTGTTCAGCTGCAACCCAATTGTGTTCAAATACAATAATAACCTAAAAAAAAACTAAGAAAACAACAAAAATTAGAAGGCATTGGCATTCTAACACGCAACAATTATTTGCACTAAATATTTACCTGTTGCATATTAAAATCCATCATGTTGGTCCATGCACTAGTTGCTATAGAACCAATAAATAGTCGTGTACTGTTTCTGGAATGGAGAAAATAAAATATTGCCTTAATAATACAACAAAAGAAGTTCAAGCCAAAATTTGAAAAAAAAAAACAATGTATAACGCATTAAAACTCACTGAAATTTGGTTTTGCACTTTTACGAAAACACTTTACTTAAACTTTAATATTTTTTCTAATTTTAAATAAAGATTCACTATTTAAACTTAATTAAATAAAATAAAAATGCCAAATTGATCTTACCTTTGAGCGAACTGAAGCGTGCGCGTACCCATGGCAATTTATTTATTTTCACATCTTATGTAAATATTGCACTACCTAACCGACCGAGCGTAGCGACAAATTATTAATGCTACAAAATGGTAAAATTGTAGTATTAGTGAATAATGACATTGACATCCAGCGTTCCCACTTGGATACAATTGTATCCATTTGGATACATTTTTGCTTTAAAATTTAGCTTGGATACAAAGATACTCAAATCTGCTAAAATGTCGAAATTGGCTACATTTTAAAATTTTGCTGAAATATGGATACATTTCTTTCTCGAACACTAAATAAATGTTAGAAAACTTTTAAAGTGCTGTAACTTTTAAGTGCATTATCTTCCAAAAAATGTTATTTGCTGACTAAATAAAATTTGCCCGTTTTCGTGCTGAATAGTTTTTACCGCATAGTTCAACAGCTACAGAACATATATTTTCTGACCTTAAATTTTAAAATGTAATAGAAATTGCGTGTGATTTCTAAAAGAATTTACTATAAATAACGAAACTTACATTGTTGAATAAAGCAAATTAATATTATTTAAGAGTTTATTGGTATAAAATAAGGCGATTTAGTATAATAATTCTACTTTAGGAGGCTGGATACATTTTGGATACATTTTGTTCTTGAAATTGGATACATTTTGTTTTTATTGAGTGGGAACACTGTTGACATCTTAAGAGAAAGAAAAAAATAATTCGAGATCAGTGCCAATAATATTTTCCATACATAAGTAAGTTTTAAAAAGGCCTAATGGAAAATTGTGAGCTTTTTAATTTCAAAATTATTCTTTTGTAAAATAAAATATAAAATTTATATAAAAGTTCTAAAATTAATGAAAAGTAATTAAATGGGAAACAATTATTAAAAGTACCTATGCCAAGTTAAGAAAAATGATTTTCATTTCTATTCAAAAATTTTAAATGAAACAAGCTAAATAGACGCTAATTTTCAAAAATCGTATTGAGGTTATGTTTTGATTCTCGAGATAACGTTTTGTGATGGAAAAATTTATATTCTGAACTTGTAATATACACTTTGTAATATTTGTTGTTCCCCAACTACAAATAATAAGGAATTATCTAAGAAATGCATATACATTTGTTAAAAATATGGAATTGCATACATACTCGTATTTTATATTTTATCCTATTACATTACACTCAATCATCAATATTAATAAGTGCAGGTGGCAAAGAACTGATGACTTCAAATAACATTTGTGTGGAAAACAAGATCATAAAAAAACATCATATTGGAAATAGCAATGAGATCAACAGATAAGCTCTACGTAATTCAATAAAAGAACATTGAGTCTGGCTTAATACAATGCGAAGGTAGGTAGTATCTTACTGTTTTTTGCCTATTTTTAATATGGTTATTTGTGTTTTAGTAATATTTTTGAATTCCGTAATTTGAGATTGTATTCTGTAAATCTTAAGAATATGGGCGAATGTTTATATATACATAACTCATTTTACTTATTTTTGCTGCTTCAATGATGTTAAACATATTCAAAATCTAAAAATGTGTTACAAAAAGAAATATAAGTAGGTAAGTAGGTATCTATCTACGTACTTAAAAAAGATCATTATCATAAAATTATAATTCGGTTTCATTTTAAAGAGACGCATTTTTAAAACTACCTGCATTGAATTTTCTTTTGATTTGTTATTAATAATTTTCTAATTTATTTTATTTAACTAACTTGTAAAATTGAAACTAAATCCTATCCTACAGTTTGTTCATATCTCTGCAGGTTTCATTACATACGTAGTTCTATAATAATTGCATATTTATGTTCTTATTCTCATTACACAAACACAATGTTTCAGAAAAGGGATGAATAAGAAATTCAGAATTATGTAAATTTTTTATTATAATAAAAAATCAAAATGCTATGATTGAATTGACTTTTTCCTTCTTAAAATCTATACTAGTAAAGCTTTTGTTAGTTTCAACACTTGCAATAGATTTATAAAAATTGTATTAAAAAAAAGGGGTAATAGATTTGCATATAAGACCATAATGGACCTACCTAGTTAATAGAAAACGCATGTTTATGGGAATGCAAAAATTTTTGTTAACTTAAACTGTGGGTACTGACTACTGAGTAAACGTGTAACGAAATATGAATTTCTAATGAGTTCTTAGACAAAAAATATTTTTTCGTTATTTTCATTTCTGTAAGTTTAAATTACAATTGGTTCATATTACTCTTTGATTTTTGTACTTGCTTATATAAATTAATCCTTTGGTAGGCATTAATATTTGTTATTATTTATCTTATTTGTTTATATTGTGAGTTAGCCAGAAAGAAATCTACATATTTGAATTTCTTAAAGCTTTCTTTTTTTAAATAAAATAAAATGTATGATGTGTGACGTTCGTAGGCAAAGGATTCAATTTCTACAATTTATATAAGTAAATACTTTTCTTAGAAAAACTTGCCTTTTTGTATTTTAAGTTTAAATTTCAATAGCTTCAAGAGTTTTATTAAACTTAAATAAAAATCATAAATTTCAGTCGGACGCGAATATAAACAGAACACCTATAACTCGCTTAAAAAGTATCAAATATTTAGCATCATTCTTTTATAAACTCAAAATGTAAATTAACATGTGTATAGTGATCATACTGCATAAGAATTTTGATTTTTTAAAAACGTTAACATTTAGGTTCAAATCCCTGAAAATTGTCCCGTTAACATAAAATTAAATATATCATTCTCATCCTTGATAATTCATTGTGTCTGGATAGCAAAAAGTAGTGAAAATAAAGAAAAGATTTGAGGTGTGAAATT